TTTTATAAACGTGTACTTTTATAGTTTTATATAAAAAAAAACTTAATTTTCAATAGATTTTCCTGGACCTGAGATATTAGTATGACGGTTTTATTCATATAAAATAAATATTTTAAAATTAGTGTTTGTTTTCCTCATCGCATTGTTACTTATCGGTATCTACACCACACGCGTGTTTCCCTTAAATTCGATGTAAGAAGAAAACAGGCTAGAAAGAAACTTAATTATTTGTTGGTACGCAAGTTTTTATGATATATTACAATTTATAATTGTACAAATATTATATAGAAATGTATTAAAATAAAAATGTTTTATCGAAAACTATGGTTTTTTTTTAAATGCATATTTTAATAGCATAGTTCTGTAGGGAATTTATACACTCATATTTTAATGTTAATAAGTGTATGCGAAAAGAGATCACGGTATGAGCGATCAAGAAGTCACCCACTAGTGACTCTTTGCTTGAAGGGAAAATAAAATAATATCACACTATGCAATTGCAGACACAGAAATCGCATTAATTAAAAATGTTACATTTTTTTTTTTTAATTTGATTTTATCTTAAAAGCCACTTTCCTGTACGATTTGCATTGTTTTTATACTCATATTATGTCCACTATACGATAACTAAATAATAAAAATAAATTTACTGATATTATGTCATATGTAAAATGTATTTTGATTAATGTGACCATCGATGAAAAGTTGAAAAAAATATGCCCCGCGGCCTGCATGGTTAAAAAGGTTACCGACCTATGCTTTATTGAATAAAAAACAGCTTTTTAGTATTTTCATAATGATATTAATAAAGGTGGTACAAGAGCCCGGTCAAGCCCAAAAATATGGTCTCAAACCAAACTCGAACTGTCCTCATATTAATCATACGTCGAACCGAACTCTATTTAATCGTAGTCGAACCGAACAGAAACGAAACAATTCAGTGTGATGTCAAACTTGAGCCGAACTGCTGTGGTAATAACTATTATAACACTGATAACAGTGACAGTTAGTGTGAGTGTAGTACCAGGTCGTTGAAAAGACACTTTAAATTTGAATTCAATCATTTTATGCGATGAATATCGAACCCGGGCGAAGACGGTATGACTTTTCGGTTACCAATAGGTTACCAGACAATTATTTCAATAATAATATTACAATTTTCACAAACGCTCAAAAGTGTTTTTGCTTTTACGGATTATTATAAAAAGTAGGTATGGGTAACCTACTGAGAATTTTAAATTCCAAAAAGTACCATCAACTCTGATGTATCTAATTCACTACCTACCAGAAACCCCCTTCGAAATTGATGATCAAAGCAATTTCTCTACTAAAAGGGTGCTTTTAATTAAAATTAAAACCAAAATCATTGTAAAACCTATTATTATAATCATCTCAATATTGAATTTTTATTTAAATTAACATTTTCAAATAATTATTAATTACTCTTTCATTATAATACATATTATTACATATTAATTGCCAAACATAAAATATAATGTTATAACTTGAACTACCAACACACAAAATAATTAAATCTTATAAACAAGCATAATATGTTGAACCTAACGGAGCACTCAAGTCCAATATAATATGTGAGAGGATATCTAGTGATTTTTGACTAGCGATTGGTATTTACCACTGGTCCACCCAGTTATTATAATAATTTTCATTATATGCTGATTTACCACTGGTCAGGGCACTAACATAGCCATAACTAGACATTTTTCAGTTAGCCGGATGGTTATCATTATTATGACATAAATAGGTAATACAAATAAAGATTGAGCGATTTTATTTTATAATTATTATGTAAAATTAATTTTTACATTTATTTAAAAAAAAAGTATTGACATTTTCGTCTATAATATTTAAGAGGACGCTATAGTGCTACACATCCATTTGTCGTCTCGGTCTTACAAGTGAGTAACATATCAAATGCAAGCTCAGCAGATCAAGTTCGGCTCCGTTAGTTTAAAAATTACAGTTAATCGACCTATTATGAAACTTGATGGTAAGAACACTATCTTTGTTTGTATGTGAATTTTTTACGATACTTCAATTTCTAAGTGAGTTATGTATATGAACATAATCTCTATTTGTGTAAGGGTTTTTTTACGATGGTTCAATTTTTTTATGTAAATTATGCGTATACAATATAGCATAAATTAAAAATGCTCGTAACTCATTTAAAAACTGAATTATAGTACAAAAAAAAAACCATATTATACTATATATTCCTGGACCGTCGTCACAATACTATAAAATAAAATAATAATAAATAAAAAAATATTATCGTCATAATAATAGTCAAAAGTTTATTAACATATATAATTTTTAATTTTATGATAATATATTAGGTACCTACCTACCTAAATAAATAAAATGTTTAATTTATATTTTTGTATAAAATATTGTTTACTTTACAGTATACTTAAATAAAAATAAATAGGTATAAATATAGTATAATATAAATACATTTTTGAAATAATTTTTCTATCGATATTTACCTATGCGTCCTATGCGGGCCACGGGCCGGTTAAAACTTGTTCGCGGGCCATATCCGGTAGTTTGGAGACCCTTGATCTATAGTATTAATACTATAAAAGTCGACGACGATCGATGGCGGCATGTGTTATTGAAATACATAATAATATATAGTTTTGATCTAATATACAATAGGTACCTCCGTAGAGAAAAGCTAATTGTTGTGGTGGAACTAAAAAAGAACCAACTGACTGATCATCATTTTGATTATCGAACAAATCTTTTTTTTAAAATGCAATAAAAAAATTTTAACAAGTTATATCAGAACTAAGTAGAACTTTTCATTTGTATTTGAAGATAATTTCAAATGCTTCTAAAATATATGATATATATATTGCTCAAATACTTGCTTGTTTATAGTATTTGTGTAATTACCTAAATACTTTTTAAACACCTAACCAGCTACCAATAGGTAACGTCGAACACTGTAAACACTGGAAACATGAACGAAATTTTTAAATTGGACCGGAAATTTCCCTTGGATTCGATTTCGAGTTAATTAAAGTCCGAGCTGAGACCTAATTCGACTGCGCGTTATTATGTACATGCCCAGAATCAGCAAAGCCCGTCACCCTCAAGAGTCTGCCGGTGTCGTTAGAAGGGATCGGCTTGATATACCGCATAATTTCCTGTTACCACAGTTCCGGTATATATCCGGATTTTGAACCTCGTCAAAACTCTTGGAAACACCGCCGCGGGCCTTTATAATAATATAATATTATACTCTATATCGAATAGTCGCGCAGTAGGTAGGTGCCTACACTTCCTACCCACACGATGATAATACATTAAAATACTATATATACCCTCGTGATTAATTAGCGTCAAATAGCGATATAGTAACAGTGGCTTGTTGATCTAATTTTTGGTGAGGAGCAAAAATGTATACAAGGTACCCACCCACCAACTCCCCACCCCTTGATATTTATAACGGAGTTTCCAACTCAGCGAAAAAGTTTAAATTTACAAAATATGTGTGCATTTTAACGATTTATATAATCAGCCTAGTCACTTAGATATTTTGTGACACCCAACAACCAACAATTTCGAATGAGCGATTTATCCAAAATAATACCTTCGACACGCCACTGATAGTAATATTGACGTATATTGTTATGATATCACGTCGAGCATCTCAAATAAGTTGGATAATAACTATTATTAAATAGTACGTTATATATTTATATCAATATAATACTACGTTTGTGTTATCTATATTATCTGTTTACAGGCTGTAACGGAAAGACGTGACAAATAACCATAAAAAAAAAAAAAAAATGATACTAGTTAAATGAATGACGAAAATTATGAAAATCGTATGGCTGATAAATAATATAAACTTAAAATTCAGAAATTCCCAAAAAAAAATATTTTTAAAAAGTTATTACGTTTCAAATAAATTTACTCCCAATAAATGTTGACATCTTAACTACTAATGAGTTCAAATTTAACATATATCTATTATAGTGTACTGTCCACCAGAGCGGTACCCACTCGTCTACCTTTTAATTTATCAATTTTGGATTAATATTATGTGAGTTTAGGGAATAATATTTATAGGAGGGAGGCTATGCGTAATTTTAGAGAGATCTTAGTCACTACAGCATCCTTAGTTGAGCTTATGTCCATAATCTATAATCCAATGTTCGTTAATCGTTATTGTATTAATTACCAGGTTTTAGGTGAAAGTTATAACTTTGTGCCCATTAAAATATGCATGCATTTATTCCCTAAGAAATCTCTAAACATGCATTTAAAAAAAAATCATAGTATTAGATTAAACATTTTTATTTTAATTTCTATATAATATTTGTAAAATTATAAATTGTAATATATAATAAAAAACTTGAGTATCAACAAATAATTAAGTTTCTTTTCCAATTTGTTTTCTTCTTACATCGAGTTTAAGGGAAACGCGCGGATGGTGTAGGTACAAATAAGTAACAATGTGAGTGATCGATGAGGAAAACAAACACTAATTTTATAATGTATAAATAAAATCGTCATATACTAATAACTCTAATGCAGGAAAATCTATTGAAAATTAAATTTTTTTTTACAATCATAAAACTTACACTTTTATATAAAAAAATTGTCAAATATGCAAAATTTATATGCAACGAAAAATTTGAAATATAAACTCGTATAATTGCCATGAAACAAATTTCTAAATTACATATAGCTATGTTTTTAATGATTATTAAAAAAACATGCAAACTCCTAGAAGTCCATAGCCCTACTTAAAAGAGGCATAATATGTTATAAATGGCCACACCTATCTGGCTATAATAGAACCAATAACCTTTCTGTTTGAAAATAATATGCTTAACATGAAATAATTTTCTCGGACCATAGTAACGAGATTTATGTATTCAGTAAATTAAAATTTTCAAAATTAATTTTAAACCAAATTTCCATTTTTATCAAATTCAAACAATCCAAAGCAAGCTATAATCATGGCACAGAACTGCAGGAAGATATACAAGTCCGAAGGGTGTTGTCGGAGAGATAAGAATATGATAAAATGTGCCACGACCGCTATAAACCAGATGAAGACGATGTTCGATACGGCCTGGTGCCCAATCAAAGAACAACCGGCGAAACATTCTGGAAAGTATAATGGTTGTGTAATAGACCCCGCGTGTAACATCAGGGAATGTCCTTTCAGAGGAACCGGAGTGGCGCCTAACGTAAGTAACGGAATTATAACAATGGAAATAATCGTAAAATCGTTAAAATAAAACTGTACAGTTTATAAGATAATTATGTACTAATAATAGAAAACTTCTTTATGAGGGGTTGAGCCAATTTGGTTTCAAAATTTTAGGAGTAGGTACCTACATTGTTTTGGCACTTATAGTGACCTACATATCATACGGCAGACATAGGTCAGTATAATATTATAAGTCTTTAACTACCAGTATTGACACCATTTTATAAAACTTCTTAAGATTTATAAGTAGTACCAATCTACACATAATATACAGAGACGCAGCCGGGGTTTTATTTCGGGTGGTGGGGGGTTCAAGTTAATAAAAAATAATGATGATAATAATAAGTAATTTTAACAGTGCTTATTAATTGAACAAAAATTAAAATCGTATCGATGATACTCGGTATTTGAATGTGATGTAAATATTTCGATTGAATCTTTCCTATTTATGAATGGTTTGCTTACTACTTACTAGAGATCCAATTTTTTGATTAGAACCTTTGCAAAATAATCTTTACCAAACAAAACCCAGTATTTAAAAGAGGCCCCCCATCCATTTCTCTGGAATACGCCAACGATTCCCATTTTTCCAATCAATTATATTGAAATTTTAGTTTCTTTGTATTAAATTCTCGACTAGGAAAAGTATAAAACGTAGTTGAAATAAATAATGAATTTAAAATATTACTTTCAAAAATATTTTTATTGGAAGCCGAAGTTTTATTTGGAAATAATTGATTTGAAACAGTTCCAATGTCAATAATATTAGTACTCACAACAATTGATGCATCAGTTATTGATGTACTGCACACTGATTGATTATGTTCTTGACTTTCATGTTGATTTAAAAGCGCATCAGTAAATGGTTTTTTTTGGTGCAGGTTTAAAAAAATTGTCAAGTGCTCCTCTCTTGATATTTGATTATTACAAGACAGAAACAAAACGAAATAAAATTTACAGTAGGTACGTTTATATGAAAGTAGACAAACATCGACTGACGACAGGCGAGTATCATACAATATATTTTGCTTTAAATCGTATACGCGATACGATTAGTGTAACAATAAAATATAAAATTTACGATCTAGTCAGTCGATAAAGGACAATCATGATTATTACATTACAAATTTATCTTAACTTAGGTAGGTACCTACTAATTAATACTGTGTCATTTCTTATCATGGCGGTTATTATGGGGTTTAGTTTATACGAGGGTCTGTGTGTATATATATATATAATATATATATATATACCTCCTTATACCCACACACCCAGCTATATGATATATGAGTACCTAATATAATATGATATATATAATATGATATGATATATTGTTTTCGTTCCACTCAGATTCTAAAAAAATTTCGTCGACACCTGGACCCCCCCAGACCTGGCTACATCCATGCACCTATATAATATATAAAATAACATACACTAATCCGTATACTCACCACTGCGCAGGTTTTGCAGACATATTGCACCAAGAGTAAACTAGAGCGGACTGGTGGCGGAGTGGCGGACCAAAACGCCATGAAGCTGAATCCGGGGGACGTGGGCCTTCGAGGTGACCGGGCCACGTTCTCGTTGGGCCGTGACCCTGGCTTGGTACACTACGACGAAAAAACCAGCAACGGAGCGGTGTACTACAATATGCGGCCAAATGGGGGGATTCAACTGGTGGATCAAGACGATGAGCAGGATGGCGATAACCATCAGGAGCAGGAGCAAGATATGGATCAGGATCAGGACCAGGATTGGGATCGAGATCTGGACCAGGATCAAGATATAGATCCAGATCAGGAACACGATCAAGATCAGGACCAACAGGTGGACGAGTCCGGGGATCAGCAGTCGGCCAAAGACCGCAAGCATGTGATGGAAATGCTGCCCGCATCCGTAAAACCGACGATCGGACCGGTAACCGGCCTGCCCGTAAGCGACGATGAGCACGTGTTCGTTCTATGGTTGGGCAAGCGGCCTGGCGAACCGGACGAGAAAGCAAGGCTGCAAATCGAGGTGCGCGTGCCCAAGTGGGTGCCGGAACCGGTGCCATCCGAGACGTTGGTCGTGGAGGTTCCGCCGGAAGTGACGTCGAAATCCAAGGGTGGTAAGAAGAAGAAGCGCGACAGCTCTAAGAAGAGTAACAGCTCCAAGAAGAGTGGAGGCTCCAAGAAGCGCGGGAGCTCTAAGAAGAGTAACAGCTCCAAGAAGAGCGGAAAGAAATGATGAAACGGTTTTAAAATATTATAATTATAACTCGCTGCAACAGGTGCCCGCTCCGGATCAGTCATCGAAGAACACGTGGTGGTCGTGATGGATACTTATCGTGACATGCCTCCAACGTCCGAGAAACCAATGACGACGAAGATGATTAAAATGTAACACATAGTTTAACAATTTGTGAAAAGTATATAAAAGTACCAATGTTATCACTCGCGCATACTAATATATTATAGTCCCTTAGGGCTTAGATCATAATATACAATGGATGGACCCCCCGAGTCTTGATAACTTTAAGCACGTATTAGAGACAAGTCTCTGACGAAGCTGCCTGATGTGAGCATAAATGTCTCATGATTGAGAATGTGAATTTAGAAGTAGATATTATGAATATTAACCGTCAGCTAAAATTGTAACGGATCGGTTCACGCATGTCCAAGTCGAGCATATCCGCCAGAGACTCGTCGCTTATAATTATGGTTCTAAAATTTCATGACATTTATTTTTTTGAAATATTTCATGAAACTTTCAGGAAATATTTAATTTTGATGAAAATTAAATGTTTTTTTTTTTTAACTTTAGTAGGAAGTGTTAAGCATGTATTTATTGATAGCAAGTATTTTTTTAAAAGGGCCACTAAATTGTATTTTTAGCCATTTTTATATTTTTTAGAGCATTTAAATCCGCACCCTGGATTAATAGATATTGGACTAATTGGTCGTTGTGACATAGAGATAAATTTCAGTCTTGTCTAGTTTAAAACCAAGTTACCTAATGTTATATAGTTCAAAATTAAAATTGTTTATATTTCGTAGTGCTATGTTTATATTTCAATGAAGTCAATTTTTTTAAACACAATACCAGAATAGGTAAAAAATAACTTTTAAAATTCAAAAAAGCATTAAAAACGTCAAAAATCTTGTCAAAACATCAAAAAAATGTTGTGGTTACAACATGGAGTAGGTACTTGAAACACATTTTTAGCTTGGGAAACACATTTAATACATTCCAAAAAAAAAAAGATGCAAATGCATTGCAATTCGAGTCCTACTTGCAACATATTTTTACCACAATTAATAAATATTAAAAATATTATCACTTTGTGTTTACAAGCTTACTTATAAAAGTATTCTTTACTCGTTTATTTATTTATTTTCATCAACTTAGCATGATAATTTACAATGAGAAAATTCAACTTACATAATATAGCACAAATAATTTCATAACATGATATGTTATATTAACCAGTAAAAATAACATTACGAATATGATATAATATACCTACTCTCTGTGGGAGTAATACGCTTGTGGTGAGAGCAAGGAGTCTGTTATTAATAAAACTAACACTTCTTATTTTTTTACAATATCTTGAAGTTAGGATTAAATGCTGACGATCACAATAATATAACCAATGTCGTAACATAATATTATATGAAACGTTGTAAATGAAGACAGGATTTATAATATTCTCTTAAGACACCTAAAATATGATGCTCATATTGTCTAAAAAACCTCTAAAATATTTTCGTTATATTGTCTAAGAAATAAAAATTGTATATGCAAAAATAATCGATGAACATCAATGTGTGCTTTAATATGAAATTTTTTTAAAATTTTTTTTCTTACTATGTTCCTTTAATTAATTAGTGAGGTATATACATGTCTTGCAGGAAAAACTTTCACGCCTCGTAGATTTGTCCAATTTAAGTAATTTTTTATTTGTTAGATAGAGGAAAACTTATTGCAGGGCTCATTGGACTTGAATTTTCAAAATTATTTTTCTAAATCTTATATTACAAGTTTGAGTTTAATCCATTTTTACATCTTTTTAGTTTTTGTATTATTTTTTGTTTTTAGCAACGTAATCAAAAATGCGCCCTGTAAAAAATATTCCTCTATTTAACAAAAAAAAAAAAAATATGGAAATCAGACCAATCTAAGTGTGGTTTGATCGATACAATACATCTTATCAATAAAATACCCCCTAAATTGAATAGGTGTCGGGTGGTAGATTAGTGGAAAAGTATTATAATTGAGGTGGTAACTAAAATATAAAATTTAATTTTTAAATTTTATAGAATGGTGGGAAATTTGAAAAAATTGCAACCAGGACCCTCAACTGGTATTTTTGTTAATTTCAAAAACTTAACAAATGCGCAATCGCAAATGTCCAAAACAAAATATTTGGACATTTGGACACTTGATAAACAATAAACGCATCGTTGATCTTATCAGTGTGAAACAACTGACATCATTGCAGGTTATCTAGGTATAGCTGGTAGGTATTATATTATGTTTATTGAACGACTTATGATAGCTGCGTGTTTTATTTTTATCAAAATGATAATTTAAATGTAAATTTTCAACAAAAAACAAACTTCCGGAAACAGTAATTTTAAAACTAATAATACATTTATATTTTTTTCTCACAATTTACAAAATATTCCAAAATATGATAATTATGCAAAAAAAACTTTTTCCTACGAACTCAGAAAACTCAGAATCTAACGAATCGTAAACCTATTGTTTTACTCTAATAAGACCGCATTGACTCAGTAACGATATTATGTAAAAACATCAAATATTATAAATACGGTGTTTAGTCATAAACGAGACCCATCGAATAATATTATAATGTATAGTTTTTTAATAATTCTAAGTTAAAAAGTTTCCATCGTTTTAATAATTGTTTTAATATTGTTTGGCAGCATGTTGAATAATTTAATTCGTCTATTAATGTAAACAGTTTTCATTAAATTAGTTTTTGGTTATTGACGCATTTAAGATTTCTATAACTCTCCTCGAGTTTCGTGTTATATTAAAATATGATTCGTAGTATTATTATTGTTACTGACAATTGATCACATATTATATAGGTTATTACTTATTGTTCATTTATCGGTAATGTTCTTTAAATAAAGTTTCAGCTTTTTTTACTATTCGAAAAGTAGTTTCTCATCACTACTCTAATTTATTAGAATTCAATATTAAGTTATCATTAATTGTTCTGAATAATTTGCATATATGCCGAACTATATATAATAATAGATAAGTGAGTATCAATATAGATCGAACTAAAGCGAAGTATATCACTTTTAAATTATATCCAATATCTAGAACAGCGTTTCTGAAGCATTTTATATTTTTTAGCTTTTTTTTATTTAGCTTTCAATAATAAGTTGTTATAGCTCGACAACAAGAACTCTTACTTTGTTTCGATAGTAATTTTAAGCGTAAGTTTAGGTAAGGATTATTTGCAATACAAATTATAATAATTTCACAAATTAATAATGTGTATGCTGGTATTTAATTCAACAAAATTTAAAAGTTTAAATTAAAATAATAATAATGTGTACACTGTATTTAATTTTAAAAATATATTTTATACACCACACAAACAGGACTTCTAAATTTTAATTATAATGAGATTTTTGGATAACCCTGACCACAGTTCGAGAAACGCTGATCTAGAATATTCTTGAGTTATTTAAAAATGTAAAAGCATTTCCTGATTCTTGCTCTTATAAAACGTATAATGTGCTCAGTCCATTTTACTTGTTCGTCGAATACTGCACATATAACACCTCGGATACTCTAGTAAAATATAGTTACTAATACGATTTGAGTGACGTAATATTGTTTTATTCATTTCCTATTAATAGTGTGTGTTTTAATTGATATCCATTCTGGTTCATTAATTGTTGACACACTAGAAAGGAATACCTATATTAAGCCGACTTACTTTTATTTAACATCGAAATACCATTTGAAAACCTGCATTTAATCACTATACTGACGGACCATTATTAGCGTTCGTCTCGATGATGATATTATATTATATAGGTCAACGATATTCGTCAAAGTTAAATATTTTTTTGTAAACATGGTAATTATTTTTCAGCGAGTGGTATAACGATAAAATAATGGAAGAAATCACAGTTATATACAAATGCCTAGGTATATAATATAGGTACACAGAACAAAATATACATTAAATGAACTACAAAATTATAAGATATGTAAGACATGGTGGATAAGTGAATCGTATGGTGTGGGGGTGGGGATTTGCGCCTATTTCTGATTTGGTGTAAAAGCGATTCAATTTATTACCGTTCAAATTAATTTACTAAAAAAAAAAAATGTATATTTTAAAAAGTTATGAAAAATAAGCTACTTGACTTAAATCAGCGCTTTCACCATCAACAGAAAGGCTATAGGATATTTACAAAAAGGCTATTTTGAATTTTAATAATAATTATTTTCAGTATTAAGGGAGCAGCGTTTCCGCCATTTTCCGCAATTCTATAAAATATTAAATTTATATTTTAGTTGCTACCTTCTTTATAATACTTTTCCTATTTCCTTTTCCTTTTATCTATTCAGGAGGGGGGGGGTAACATATACGGTGTATTATACTATCAACGAAAATGATTTCACAGGGAAATCTCTCAAACCTCATCGATATACCAAATATGGATTTTAACAGAAAGATGATAACTTTTTTTCGAAGCCCAATCATTTTAATACAACTCGCTCATATGACCTCCACCTATATCCAGGGGCCCTACAAGGGGGTGGGGCTCTTGGACCTGGAGTACATGGGCCCATTGAAATGTATTTGTAATTTTTGAAATGTTGATAGGAATACTTATTTTATAGTAATCTTTTAAGCCATGGGCGTTGATTATGATTTATTATATTATCATCTAGTATTCATAATCAATACTATATGGGTCAACCATTTATCACCTAGAAATAGTGTGGGACGCCCACATCGTCATTAATGAGTTGCGTTTTTTCGGAAGTTATGTATAATGCCCTCGAAAACATTTAGTACAGGGGCACTAAATTTGAAGTTGGGGGCGGGGGAGCTGCGACACCTATACAAGTGCTCGTAAATATACTGTAATAATAATAAATAAACACATAACAATATTGTCGCGACGACGACGCAGCCAAAATGAGAAGTTCAATTTGTTTTGTATACATATATATTATCGTGGAGT